GAAGAGAATGGGGAGATGGGATTTGAAGATGGTTAGCAATTCCATTATTGAGAGCTTTCTGTTAATTTGAGTGCTGATGGAGGAAGTGTGATGAAGGGTTTATGGAGGCAACAGGCGAGATGCATGGCTAGAAATTCTTTATAGTATTGAGAAATGTAAAAGGTCTTTTAAGCGGGTTAATTTTTTTTTTTTTTTTTTTGAACTGAGAAACAGGGTTAGGGTACCATGTTCATTATATATTATATATGTAGAGATACTAGAAAGGACATACTAATACAAAAAGACCCACAAAGTGTCTAGAAGAAGGATCGAAGTAAAGAAGAAGCTGGTAAGGAGCAGACCTAGTCGTCACCTACCGAACTAAACTTTAATTAGATCCTTCAACAGTAGGCCAAAAGAAAGAAAAGCTCACAAACTACTAAGAGACTGAAACTTGTAAATGACACAAAAGAAAAACACGAGTTCTTACAACACTAAAAACACTGCAGCCTGCTGACAAGAGAGAGAGACATGGTGGACGTCAATGAGCGACGGCTAGAGGGAAAAGCACAGTCCAAATCAAAGAGTGTCGGAGAAGTTGTCACCACAGTTACCAAAGGTTTTTACCTTAGCAATATCCTGCAACTTCAGGTTGTGAGCAGCCCTGCAAATGCGCCCCGCCAATCTCTCCTCTTAAGCCCCTGTCCAAAACAAGACATATCTAGCGATATTAGCAGCTGTGTGGATAGGATCAGCAGGGAAGTCTCTGAAAATAAGATGATTTCTACAATTCCACATTCCCCAACAGAAGCACAGTAACAAGTGTTTCCAGATTGCTTTAATGTATGCATATTTTCAGTCCATAGTTATGAAATTTAATAAATAGTTGTTTCACACCATTACTTAGATAAATCTTGCAGATTTGCTATTTGGACCATGTTGTTTGTTGAGTCTGATTTACATAGAGAGTATATATTGTGGAAATTTAAAATTAGACGTCCACATTGAACTGCAAGACAACTAGTGGGGCTTTATACACAAAAACCCTATGTTATAAATGTGTGTCTTCATTCACCTATTATTTTTGGTATCCAGAGTGTCGTTAATCTATGCATTTCTATGATTGTTCCCTATTTTTCCATATTTGAACTGTACTTTGGTTTCCGGTTGTGTTATTAACGCTTTTGGTACACAAGAATGAAATCAAGTGAGAATGGAATGAATGTAGAAATGGAATAGAATTTATGTGAGAATGAAATGCTCATTCCTATTCTCATTTACGTTTGGGTGCAATTAGAGAATTAAATGGAGTATCTTTTAAGAAGAATATACTCGAAATCTATTTTATTATTGACATTCTCACTTAAGTGAGAATATTAATTCTTTTATAGCTCATTAGGAATAGCAAGTGTGAATTGATTAGAAGTGGGAATGACATTTTTATCATTCAAAAACACATCATGTTTGGTATGTATGGATGAGAAGTTGGAATTATATTTCATTCCCACTCATTCCCGCATACCAAACGGGGCGTAACATATAATATCTCTTCTTTCCATGGGACCATAGTTGTACATTTCATGCATATTCTGTACAGACAAATATCTTGGAAGAAGCCACAATAGGAAAGAAATGTCAATTGGAGGTCACAAAATTAAGGAATGTTATCGGCCCAATTAGCAATATATTTGTGGAAAATATCCGCAACCAATCAAGGACTGCAGATAAGAATGCTAAACGCATATAAGAGAGCAACGTGGTAGAGAGTTTACTTTGCATGTTGTATTGTAGAACTAGAACATGCACATGGTGTGATTATTACACTCATATACGTGTAGGACCTAAGTGTTGCATCTCATAGGGTCGGTTCCTTGGTCTTAGCCGTAGGAAATGGATGCGTGAGATGTATTATGATTGTGTTTATATGATGAGTATTGTTTGATATTATGGATTGATGGATGAAATTGGATGAGTATACATTTGGAATGTGAATGTATATCATGGTTGATTTTATGATATATTGTTAAATATTGTAATTGGATTGATGTCGATACAAGCTATATGTGTATTCTCGTATGGGAGGTTACTAGAAAATTAAAAAAAATTACATAAATATACACATTGGCGATGAATTTCCCTGTCGCCAATGCACATTGGCGACGAATTTCCCCGTCGCCAATGCACATTGGCGATAGGGAGATGCGTCACCAATGTTTAAAACATTGGCGACTGGTAAATGTCCGTCACCAATGTTTTAAACATTGGCGACGGATTTCCCCGTCGCCAATGTGCATTGGCGACGGGGAAATCCGTCGCCAATGTATATATTTACGTTAAAAAATTTAATTTTCTGGTAGCCTCTCATACGAGAATACACATATAACCTGTATCGACATCAATCCAATGATAATATTTAACAATATATCATAAAATCAACCATGATATACATTCACATTCCAAATGAATACTCATCCAATTTCATCCGTCAATCCACAATATCGAACAATACTCGTCATATAATCACAATCATAATACATCTCGCATGCTCAAATAATATTCATTCACTACACAATAAAATCACAATTATATTACATATAGGTAAAATTTAAAAGTCATAATATGTCTTAACACAACTCTCACTCACTCCTCGTCATCGTCGTTGTCGACATCCTTGTTACATCATCGTCTGCATTAGAACGTCGTATCGTACTGCTGCTCCCTACGAGAGTACCTCCTCTAACCTGAAAAGATCATCACTCCACATAAGATATATACCAAAAATATCATAATAAATACATAAATGTCACGTCATATATACCTCTCCACCACCATGAACTTCATGCTCGTCAAACGCCAAAAAATATCATAAATTAGAAATTCTAATTAGAAATACATGTGTGCAAATATGAATAAATTAGAAAGTTAATAGTTTAAAGATTATTCCGTGTGTTATCATTTATATTCATTGCACCACAAGTAAAAACAAAATAAATATATACCATGTAAATTATTCCTTTTATTTGATTAAGAAAAATTAATATATACCATGTAATTTTTAACAGGTTGGATCAATGAACTATATCTGAAAAATAAGAAGAGGAAAGAGATAAATGTTTCACTAACTATTCGAAAGGTCTCTTTTACATGATAGAAAACTCTTGCAAGTGCTATAGAGATTTCATACATTAAAATTCCAACTTCTAAACCAATATCGAACCACGCAAACAAAATGAGGACTCTCCATTTGATTTTGAACAAGCTTTTCAGTTTCGACAACTCGAAGCATGTTTAACTCTCCACGTTGCAAACTTCTACAAATATCAATAAATAAATAAAAACATGTATAAGAACATGTTATGGATTAACTAGTCCAAAAAGATTCAATAAATTTCATCAAATCTGCAAAGAGAGAATATAAGCAAAAAAAAAATCCTTTGTTAATGCTATACCTGCACTTCTACTTATCTGCATGACTCTGAGCTCTTTGGACTTGATCCTCCTGTATCTACACATTCAAGTATATATATTGCCTATTTGATGAGAACTGATACCTAATTTGAGATGTCAATAAATCGCTATAAGAACAAGTTAATTTATGATCATACCGAAAATGGATGAGGAAAATAAAATTGTCAATTTGCTTGCATCATACTATAGTAAGGAGGACGCTTTAGTACTGAAAATGTATAGTCACCTGGTTGATTTGTTTGAAAACCTTGATACTGCTACAATATACATTCAAAATAATTACAGAAAAAGAGAAATATAATGATAATTGTTAAATATTTTTTGAATAAACCAAACCTGAATAACTTGTTGAAATCCCAACCCCTCATTCATCAAAGAAAATTTGAACCCCTCATTTGCTCCCCGTGAAATTCTCACAAATCACACCGCGAGTGACCAGACCTAATTATCAATGCTCCCCGTGAAACTCTCCTCCGGTCGCCGCCTCCAGATGTTCACCACCCTCCGCCGCTGCAAATATATAGAAATAAATACTATATTAGAAAATAGAATTGAATTAATTACTAATCTGGTAATTTGGCCTGCCTCTCCCATTGCAACACTAAAATTACATGGCCATGATTATCCACCAAAATAATGTAACTATCCGTGCTCTATCCACCAAAATTACAGGGCCATGATTATAAGATTCAACACTAACAAAATACCAAGCGATCCATAAAAAATGATGTATGTTTATTTCGATTCTTTGCGTTTAGCCAGCAAAATAAGTAATCACAAGCCTCATAAATCAACAAAATTGCAAACAAAAGTTCAGATCATAACTTTCTTCTAAAAAAACCTAAATAATGAACAAAAAAATAGAGGGAAAATAGGGTTTTGAGAGAAGGAATACTCGGTGGTTGCCTATTTTTTTCGAAGGAGCCGCCAAGGGTTTTGGTAGAGTTGGGAGGTGAGAGACGGGGGTGCTGCGTGGAGACGCTGCGGGTGCAGCGCGTGTGCTGGAGGTTTCTTCAGCGAGAGGAGTTGCTAGCGATCGTTCTGGAGAGATTTGGGGGTTTGGAGATAGAGAGGGGGGGGTTTGGCCCGTTTTGGGGGTTTTTAGAGAGAGCGGGGAAATCAAAACAGAAGCGAAATGAAAACAGAAGTGGGGAAATGAAAAAGGAGGCAGGAAATGAAAAAAAAGTAATTTTTTTAACATTTATCCTTCAAAATAAAGTAATTTTTTAGTATATGTTAATAAAAACAATATAAGTAAATAAGTTCCTCAATTAACTTAATGAAATTTAAAATTAATACCTTCAACGGGTGAGGATCCATGTAGAGATAATGGACTAGAAGAAGGTCGTGAGGACATTCCTTCACGTAAAAAAATAAAATTATAAATGTGAAATATGCATATTTATACCACAAACACAATTTATTTAAACAAATTTATATTTATACCTAATGATGAACATGTTTGATTGTGGGAACTTAATTGCTTGTTTTCAAAGAGAGTTTGATTTTGGAATATTTTACCACGATTCTACAATGCTTTGCGATAAAATGTGGCAATAATATGTTTTATTGTATATATATATATATATATATATATATATATATATATATCGTTTGTTTTGACCTACTATCTTTAGCAGGCTTATGTATATATTTTGAGTTGAGGAACGTGATATAAAGTGTCAAGCTTGACTCGTACACGGGACTTGGCTTGTGCAAGTGTTGTTGTTGTCTCGTAACCCGTGTTTATGAATATTCACTATAGTTTCGGAGCGTGACAATTTTCAAATCATCGAATCTGCTAGCATAAAGAGTAAAAAACAAAATTTAAAACTAACATAGAACCCCAAATCCATTAAAAACTTTTTTTTTCTCCAATATATATCATATTCCTAATTAATTAAAAATGGCTATGATAGGTTTTGGTATATCATTAACAATATTAATATGGTTACATGTTCATGACACGTATAACTAAAAATGATCTCCTAGGTATCTCACCATTTTCTCATTATTTTTACTTTTCACAATATTTTCTCTAAACTAATCAAAGTCGTCGCCAAAAAACTCACGAATACTTATCAAATATCAAAGTATATCTATTCCGCTAAAGAATTTAATTTTTGAGTATTAAAGTTTATACTATATATATGATGTGTTTAACAATTCCTAGATGTGTTTCACAATTTACATAATTTGGTGGACTACATTTAAAATATTATAGATTTGAGGTACTAATAGTAAAATAATTCTTAATTTTTTATGGGGCCACTCATTAACAATGGGATAATTAATCACTAATGTTAATTTTTTTACGATGGACACATTAGCATTGATAACGGACCGAATCCGTCGCTAATAAGTATTGGCGACGGGTCAAATCCGTCACCAATATTCATTGGCAACGAATCGAATCCGTCGCCAATAACGAATTTGATCCGTCGCTAATAAGTATTGGCGACAGATTTGATCCGTCGCTAATAAGTATTGGCGACGGATTCGATTCGTCGCTAATGTTTCGTCGCCAATACTTATTAGTGACGGATCTATTTCGTCGCTAATGAGTGTTGGCGACGGACACTATCCGTCACTAACAAGTATTAACGACGGAACATTGGCGACGGATCAGATCCGTCGCTAATATCTATTGGCGACGGCATCGATCTGTCGCCAATGTTCCGTCACCAATACTTATTAGCGACGGAACATTGGCGACGGATTGAATCCGTCGCCAATATTTATTGGTAACGGATCTGATCCGTCGCCAATAAGTATTGGCGACGGATTTTTCCGTCGCCAATGTTTTTCCGTCGCCCAAGAGTATTGGCGACGGAAAATCATTGGCGACGGATTGAAATCCGTCGCCAATACAAACATTGGCGACGGAACAAACCTCGTCTCCAATGTTCCGTCGCCAATGTTTGTATTGGTGACGGATTTGAAATCTGTCGCCAATACCCCGTCGCCAATGCTCAGTTTTCTACTAGTGATTGAAACAATAAACAATTAATTAGTGGCTTATTATTACGGCTTATTATTGGAATGATCTATTAGCATAGTTCTACCAAACAAGTTGCTTTCTTATAGAAAGGATTGAATTGTTCTTTTATAACCACTAAAGTTCGTTAGACTAATATTTTTTGATACGATGAGTACCGTAGCAATTTGAAATTTTAATTTCGGTATCTAACAATCATAGAGGGGAAATCAATTCTTTTTTTGGTCAATGAAATTGAATTTATTCATATAACCATTTGGAATTATAGTACAGCAACATAAAACTCAGAATTTGAGTTATCTACAAAAAGAATACAAGGACTATACACTGTGCATGAATATCAGTCCAGAAAGAGGTGATTTGAGTTATCTACAAAAAGAATACAAGGACTATACACTGTGCATGAATATCAGTCCAGAAAGAGGTGGCCGAGACTTGTAAACCCTATTTCATTGATAATAACCATTCTCTGTCTTCAGCATCAACCTCATTGTTTAGAACTATGGTCAACACATCTATTTTGATCATTTTTATAAGAGGCTCAGCTTCCCTACTTTTCTGATTGAAGATTCTGCAATTTCGTTCAATCCAAATGTTGTATGATAAGAGGCTCAGCTTCCCTACTTTTCTGATTGAAGATTCTGCAATTTCGTTCAATCCAAATGTTGTATATTGAGGAGGTAAGAGCCAATCTTTTTCAATCCAAATGTTGTATATTGAGGAGGTAAGAGCCAATCTTTTTACTTTATGCTTGAAACTTTTACCTTGCAAATTGGTACTGAACCAGTTCAGTAGATGATTCCAATCACAACTTCTCCATCTAAAACAGAGCCAATCCATGATACCATTCCATACATCCTTGGAATAGTTGCAATCAAAAAACAGGTGACTTCTACTTTCAGGTTTGGATCCTGAACATAAACAGCACTGATTAGTTTGAATTATACCTCTCCGCAGCAATTTGTCCTGGGTTAGGAGCCTGTCTTGAGCAGCTAACCATGAGATGAAAGAATGCTTTGGGTAATTGAAACCCCCCCATATAGTGATACACCATGGAATTTTATTTGCAGTGTTTGCAGCAGGGGAAAGAGCATGGTACAGGTCAGAAAGTTTGATTTTTGAGGATCTATAACAGGACCTGATTATATCTTTTAGATTATCCAAACCACCACAGCAAGCAATAGCCTTATCTCTGATTTTTAACAGCTGTTTCCATGTCCAGAAATCACTAACTTTCATTTCCACTTGCCATATATTCCTGATTTTTAGATAATTTCCATGAATCCATTTAATCCATAGGAGCTCTTTGTTTGTGTGTATACCCCATATGATCTTTAGTACTGCTGCCATATTCCAGATTATAGAAGAGAAAAACCCAATCCTCCATATTGTTTACTTGTACAAACTATGTCCCATGAAACCAGAGAAGCCTTGGATGTATGATCATTTTTCCCCCAAAGGAACTTTCTGCTAAGCTCATCTACTTTGTGAAGTACTTTAACTGGTAGAATATAGCTAGAGGTCCAGTATATTTGCATCCCAAGTATCACACTCTTTATCACCTGTAATCTACCCGCATAGGATAGATTTCTGATTTTCAGGCAGTTTTGGAATTGACTTGAGATTTTTGGAATTGACTTGATTTTCAGGCAGTTTTAGAGGGGAAATCAATTCAAATCAGCACAACGGATCAATCACATGATCAGTAGATCACTCAAAATTTGAATTATATTAAATAGTTAGCTATCATCGAGATGAAATCAAATCAAATATCAACTAGATCACGAATGCATGTGGTGTGATTATAGACATATAATAATGGAACTAAATGCTTAATTTTTTATAATTTGCATCCGCTGTTGTCACCCGGATCTAGGCCTCGTGCTATTGCCATTTTTACTAATTTATTTATTTATTTTTACTTTTTTCCTGCTAAAAGAAATGATGGAGAAATTATACATACGCAAAGATTGTAAATTCCAATTGTGGGTATACCAATTTTGTCCCTTATATCAATAATATTCTCATTTTTCTCATTATTAAAGAAATTTAGTTAAGATATATATGTGATAATCTTAACCTAAATGTACAACACTTGTTTGGTTTACGTATATAAATAATAGATCTCCATGTTATATATATACTAAAAATGATATAAGTTCAAAAGTTATAAAAATTAAAAAAAAAATACTCTCATATGAAGTAATAACTAGCTGACTCTTCATCTTTTTCCTTTTGGAGAATTATTTTTTCTCTTTTACGCTCTTTTCTTAGAAACTTGTATCATTTCCTTATTTACAAATTCTGCGAAAATCTTATAAAAGTTCTGCATGCTTATTTTATACATTTCTGTAACTTTAAATATTTTTCCCCCTGAAAGACCTAATTAAGTTCCTTGTATATGATTGT